AAAACTATATATACAAATGCTGGGCATAAAGAGACGAATGCAGTCACAATATTAGAATAGACCCTGGGGTCTGACTGAACCCCGAGGGACCTAGTTTCTTAGTCACAGCTTGGAAACAGTTGAGATCCCCACCCTATAACCATATAGACAATCGCCGATTACAAAGAGATGAATGCACATATGCTTCCAGGATGGCCTTGGGGATTGTCCCACCCCTGGAGACTTAACCCCTGGGTCATAACTTTAAAATGGTTAAGATCCCCACCCCAAAACTATAGATACAGTTGTTGGGCATAAAGAGACAAATGCAGTCATGATATTAGAATTGACCCCAAGGTTTGCCCCACCCTTGGAGACTTAGCCCCTGGGTCATAACTTTGAAATGGTTTAGATCCCCACCCCAAGACTATAAATACAAATGCTGGGCAAAAAGAGACAAATGCAGTCATGATATTAGAATCGATCCTGGGATCTGGCCACAACCGTAGGAACCTATTTTCTGAGTCACAGCTTGGAAACAGTTGAGATCCCCACCCCATAACCATACATAAAATTGCTGGGCATGAAAAATCGAATACAGATATATATGCTACAAGGATTGGCCTTGGGGTCTGGCATATTCCCTTGGATCTCATTTGGAGAATATTCTGCCATGATTGCTTAGATATCCAGGTGAGCTATACAGGCCCTATGGGCCTCTTGTAAGATGTGATTGTAAGTACCGGAAAAATAAAGAAAAAATGGGGGGGGGGTTATAATTGGGTTATTACATTGATGTGGGAGCGGGAGAGGTTGGGGATGGAAAGAAGTGATGGGTATCAAAGAGATGTGCTGATAGATTTATGGACTGTATCGAGAGCTAGTTGTATGGAACAGAGAGGTTGTGGAAGTGAGGAAACCTATAGTGGTTGTGGGAATGATGAAACCTATAGTGGTTGTGGGAGTGAGGAAACCTATAGTGGTTGTGTGAGTGAGGAAACCTATAGTGGTTGTGTGAGTGAGGAAACCTGTAGTGGTTGTGGGAGTGAGGAAACCTATAGTGGTTGTGTGAGTGAGGAAACCTATAGTGGTTGTGGGATTAAGGAAACCTAAAGTGGTTGTCGGAGAGAGGATATCTTTAGTGGGTGTGGGAGTGAGGTGTATAAACACTAAGTGTTTTTGAGAAGTGAGTACATAAAACAGTTTATAACTTACCTCCTGATGCAACAGCATACTCATTATTTGCGGTAACAACATTGTTTTTGGCAGTGCCACCTGGAGGACAATAATAGAAGTCAGTTAAAAAAATCTGCAAATATCTAATATTTATTATGGCACAGCAAAACAGTTGTTCTTTTACTGTCCAGAAATAGCCGTAGGGTGAACATCTACGAGACTTCAAAGGTGTCTGTGAATTGGAGTTTTATAAATTGGATGTCCCACTATGTTGCTGTAATTCACAACTAAATCACCTTTGTTCGAAATTTGCCATTTGCCATTAGATTGTGGTATAGATTGTTAGAAATCTCTCTCTCTCTCTCTCTCTCTCTCTCTCTCTCTCTCTCTCTCTCTCTCTATCTATCTTACACCCCGTTTCACATTCATTACATCACGATTGGACAACAACGATGTGACGTTACTAAACCATAACATTCTGATGCCATGATGAAACTTCAACACTTCTTCGTGGTTTCTGAGCTAATTCTGGTGTTTGAAATGAGAAAAAAATAATCATTCATGCCTCAGGGTGTACGATAGAGAAATTCAACCCTTGGGATTTTCAAATTGACCCAAAACCCTCTCAAGTCTGGACTTGAAACATTTGAAAACCCCTCGGATGGAATTTCCCTATCCTACTACCCAGGACATGAACGAGTCTTATACTATTCTCAGACAGAAAAATGTTTTTATCAAAGCTATGGTTGTTACAGTTTGGCAGTGGCACAGGATCCTTGAAGGAAAAAATGACATTGAACCAAATATCATTACACCATCAGCTCAAAGATAATGTTATGGACATAGATCACAGATCACAGATAATATTACTGACTTAGATCAAAGATAATGTTACCGACTTAGATCAAAGATAATGTTACCGACTTAGATCACAGATAATATTAATGACTTAGATCACAGATAATGTTAACGACCTAGGTCACAGATAATGTTACAGACTTAGATCACAGATAATGTTATCGACTTAGATTACAGATAATGTTACTGACTTAGATCACAGATAATGTTACCGACTTAGATCAAAGATAATGTTACGGACATAGATCACAGATCACAGATAATATTACTGCCTTAGATCACAGATAATGTTACCGACTTAGATCAAAGATAATGTTACGGACATAGATCACAGATCACAGACAATATTACTGACTTAGATCACAGATAATGTTACCGACTTAGATCACAGTTAATGTTATCGACTTGGATCACAGATAATGTTACTGACTTAGATCACAGATAATGTTACTGACTTAGGTCATAGATAATGTTACCGACTTAGATCACAGATAATGTCATGACTTAGATCACAGATAATGTTACCGACTTAGGTCACATATAATGTTACCGACTTAGATCACAGATAATGTTACCGACTTAGATCACAGTTAATGTTACCGACTTAGATCACAGATAATGTTACCGACTTAGATCAAAAATAATGTTACGGACATAGATCACAGATCACAGATAATATTACTGCCTTAGATCACAGATAATGTTACCGACTTAGATCAAAAATAATGTTACGGACATAGATCACAGATCACAGATAATATTACTGACTTAGATCAAAGATAATGTTACCGACTTAGATCAAAGATAATGTTACGGACATAGATCACAGATCACAGATAATATTACTGACTTAGATCAAAGATAATGTTACCGACTTAGATCACAGATAATGTTACCGACTTAGATCACAGCTAATGTTACTGACTTAGATCACAGATAATGTTACCGACTTAGGTCACATATAATGTTACCGACTTAGATCACAGATAATGTTAACGACTTAGATCACAGATAATGTTACTGACTTAGGGCACAGATAATCTTACTGACTTAGATCAAAGATAATGTGACCGACTTAAATCACAGATAATGTTACTGACTTAGATCACAGATAATGTTACTGACTTAGGTCATAGATAATCTTACTGACTTAGATCAAAGATAATGTTACCGACTTAGATCAAAGATAATGTTACGGACATAGATCACAGATCACAGATAATATTACTGCCTTAGATCACAGATAATGTTACCGACTTAGATCACAGTTAATGTTATCGACTTAGATCACAGATAATGTTACTGACTTATATCACAGATAATGTTACTGACTTAGATCACAGACAATGTTATCGACTTAGATTACAGATAATGTTACTGACTTAGATCACAGATAATGTTACCGACTTAGGTCACATATAATGTTACCGACTTAGATCACAGATAATGTTACCGACTTAGATCAAAGATAATGTTACGGACATAGATCACAGATCACAGATAATATTACTGCCTTAGATCACAGATAATGTTACCGACTTAGATCAAAAATAATGTTACGGACATAGATCACAGATCACAGATAATATTACTGCCTTAGATCACAGATAATGTTACCGACTTAGATCAAAAATAATGTTACGGACATAGATCACAGATCACAGATAATATTACTGACTTAGATCAAAGATAATGTTACCGACTTAGACCACAGATAATATTAATGACTTAGATCACAGATAATTTTAACGACCTAGGTCACAGATAATGTTACAGACTTAGATCACAGATAATGTTATCGACTTAGATTACAGATAATATTACTGACTTAGATCACAGATAATGTTACCGACTTAGGTCACATATAATGTTACCGACTTAGATCACAGATAATGTTACTGACTTAGGTCACAGATAATCTTACTGACTTAGATCAAAGATAATGTTACCGACTTAAATCACAGATAATGTTACTGACTTAGATCACAGATAATGTTACAGACTTAGGTCACAGATAATGTTACAGACTTAGATCACAGATAATGTTACCGACTTAGATCACAGATAATGTTATCGACTTAGATTACAGATAATGTTACCGACTTAGGTCACAGATAATGTTACCGACTTAGATCAAAAATAATTTTACGGACATAGATCAGATCACAGATAATATTACTGACTTAGACCACAGATAATGTTACCGACTGAGATCACAGATAATGTTACTGCCTTAGGTCACAGATAATGTTACAGACTTAGGGCACAGATAATGTTACAGACTTAGTTCACAGATAATGTTACAGACTTAGGGCACAGATAATGTTACAGACTTAGTTCACAGATAATGTTACAGACTTAGGTCACAGATAATGTTACTGACTAGATCACAGATAATGTTACCGAATTAGATCACAGATAATGTTACAGACTTAGGTCACAGATACTGTTACCGACTTAGATCACAGTTAATGTTATCGACTTAGATCACAGATAATGGTACCGACTTAGATCACAGATAGTGTTACCGACTTAGATCACAGACAATGTTATCGACTTAGATTACAGATAATGTTATCGACTTAGATCCCAGATAATGTTACCGACTTAGATAACAGTTAATGTTACCGACTTAGATCATAGATAATGTTACTGACTTAGGTTACAGATAATGTTACCGACTTAGATTACAGATAATGTTACTGACTTAAGTCACAGATAATGTTACCGACTGAGATCACAGATAATGTTACTGATTTAGATCAAAGATAATGTTACAGACTTAGATCACAGAGAATGTTACCGACTTAGATCACAGTTAATGTTTCCGACTTAGATCACACATAATGTTACTGACTTAGATCAAAGATAATGTTACCGACTTAGATCATAGATAATGTTACCGACTTAGATTACAGATAATGTTATCGACTTAGATCCCAGATAATGTTACTGACTTAGGTTACAGATAATGTTACCGACTTAGATAACAGTTAATGTTACCGACTTAGATCACGGATAATGTTATTGACTTAGATCAAAGATAATGTTACCGACTTAGATTACAGATAATGTTACCGAATTAGATCACAGATAATGTTATTGACTTAGATCAAAGATAATGTTACTGACTTAGGTCACAGGTAATGTTACCGACTTAGATCAAAGATAATGTTACCGACTTAAATCACAGATAATGTTACTGATTTAGATCAAAGATAATGTTACCGACTTAAATCACAGATAATGTTACTGATTTAGATCAAAGATAATGTTACCGACTTAGATTATAGATAATGTTACCGACTTAGATAACAGTTAATGTTACCGACTTAGGTCACATATAATGTTACCGACTTAGATCCCAGATAATGTTACTGACTTAGGTCTCAGATAATGTTACCGACTTAGCAGATAATGTTACCGACTTAGCAGATAATGTTACCGACTTAGCAGATAATGTTACCGACTTAGATTACAGATAATGTTACCGAATTAGATCACAGATAATGTTACTGCCTTAGGTCACAGATAATGTTACAGACGTAGATCACAGATAATGTTACCGAATTAGATCACAGATAATGTTATCGACTTAGATTACAGATAATGTTACTGACTTAAGTCACAGATAATGTTACCGACTTCGATCACAGATAATGTTACCGACATAGATCACAGATAATGTTACCGAATTAGATCACAGATAATGTTACCGACCTGGATCACAGTTAATGTTACCGACTTAGATCATAGATAATGTTACCGACTTAGGTCACAGATAATGTTGCCGACTTAGATCACAGATAATGGTACCGACTTAGATCACAGATAGTGTTACCGACTTAGATCACAGAGAATGTTACCGACTTAGATCACAGTTAATGTTATCGACTTAGATCACAGATAATGTTACAGCCGTAGGTCACAGATAATGTTACCGCCTTAGATCACAGATAATGTTACCGATTTAGATCACAGATAATGTTACAGACTTAGTTCACAGATAATGTTACAGACTTAGGGCACAGATAATGTTACAGACTTAGATCACAGAGAATGTTACCGACTTAGATCACAGTTAATGTTATCGACTTAGATCAAAGATAATGTTACCGACTTAGATTACAGATAATGTTATCGACTTAGATTACAGATAATGTTACCGAGTTAGATCACAGATAATGTTACCGATTTAGATCACAGATAATGTTACAGACTTAGGTCACAGATACTGTTACCGACTTAGATCACAGACAATGTTACCGACTTAGATCACATATAATGTTACCGAGTTAGATCACAGATAATGTTACAGACTTAGGGCACAGATAATGTTACAGACTTAGGGCACAGATAATGTTACAGACTTCGATCACAGATAATGTTACTGACTAGATCACAGATAATGTTATCGACTTAGATTACAGATAATGTTATCGACTTAGATTACAGATAATGTTACCGACTTAGATAACAGTTAATGTTACCGACTTAGATCATAGATAATGTTACCGACTTAGATCACATATAATGTTACCGAGTTAGATCACAGATAATGTTACTGATTTAGATCAAAGATAATGTTACCGACTTAGATTATAGATAATGTTACCGACTTAGATTACAGATAATTTTACCGACTTAGATCACAGATAGTGTTACCGACTTAGATCACAGATAGTGTTACCGACTTAGATCACAGTTAATGTTTCCGACTTAGATCACACATAATGTTACTGACTTAGATCACAGATAATGTTAGCGACTTAGATCACTGGTTGTCTTACCCTGATTTCTTCGTCTCATCATGACTAGCACTATCCCTGCTGTTGCCACCAGAATGAGAGTCAAGACTACCACAACTACAATGACTGTCGAGTCTGATCCGGCGCTGATTGGCGATGGTTTCTCTGGAAATTAAAAAATCTTGGTTTAGGTTTCCATTTATTTGATTACGTATAACAGGTACAACTTGTGCTTTAATTTGTGGCATTTTAAAACAAAATTAGAAAATTAAATTTACACAGATAATGATTTTGCAAAGGTATGAATTGTCACAGTGTTTTAGCACAGAGACTAGACACCCGGCATATAAAGTGTCAAATTGGGAAAGGAGTAGGCTTTGTTACATTTAGATATTGAATTGCAATAGGTAATTGTATTTTGTTAAACAAATCTTCAACAAAACTATTACATGTGTGATATGATCTATTTTGAAACATCCTATATTCCTCTTGATGTATATAAATTGTTCCACAACAAACTTCCTATTTTCTAACAATGTTACAGTTATGATGTTCATTATCGTGGTTCATTTTTAAATTGATGTCGTGGTGTGGGGTCTGTCCGGCGTCAAATTTTTACTTTAAAAATGTTTGTTGCCAACTGCGTTCATACTACCGTAATTGCCGTCAAAATGAAGGACAATCCTTAAATGATTGTGGACTTAGAAAGAAATGATCTCTGAGGCCCCAATTAAATTCCTGTCCAATTTTACCATCGTACACATCTGTATATATATAATCCTGCAAAGTGCTCTCTATTTTGCCATATCGCTGTAGAAATCCTTTCAGTGCTTCCCTCAGAGGCTTGTAACAAAATCTCTGATATGGGTATAATTTTCCTTCTTCCACTCGGAAGTATAATCACCATGTCCAATAACAATTGACCACATGGACCCGGCGTGTTCATTGAGGATGTTCTGGATATGCCACAGAGGAACAACCTTTGGCTACAATTTCACCTTCAAGTCGTTGATTACATTCTTCTTTGTCTTACTTTATACCAATAGCTTTCCTAAGCATATTTATATTGTCCCTGGAAATATTACAGGATGTGTCGAATACACAGGATGATCGACAATTAGTACTGATATGAACTTCTTAAGAAAAGAGTTAGAGGAGAGAAACAACAGCATTGTATGGAAGTATAAAAGCACTTTGCCAGGTGCGTATAAACAGACAAAATACGAAAACGATTGAAATCATGACATGCCTGGACAGGATATTTTCCTCTTCAGTGGCATGTGGGCCTAGGTCATTATTCAATTCCTTGTCCGAAACATCACTCCATAGCTCTTTGTTTTCTGAATTGTCGTCTGAATCAGTCTCTTATCTGTCGACGTATATAATTCCTTATTTTGCGTCATAACTCAGTTATATTACCATCGTCAGATTCTATTGCCACATCTTGATGTTCGTCTTATTCCACATTAGTGGGCGCATTTTCTTCTTTATTTTTACAAATTAAATTGGAGGGTGACGTGACAACATTAAAGCAAAATCAATTTGAAATTATGAAAACACAGAAAAAAAAATTCTGTCAATTAAAGTTGTCGAGTGTGGATGCTCTTCAGAATACAACAAAACAGATAAATATACCTACCTCGATTCAGGTGTCACGATAAACCTGCATGTATTTTTTTTATAAGATTTGTCATTTTCCGAAGAAATTCGCCTCCTTAGACTTTTTTAACAGATTGTTACTTAATGTTCAATAGTTGTGACCAGCTAATTATGGGAAAGATGAAAACAAAGCTACGCGGTTAGTCTCTGTCTCTTTCACAAATATAACTCTTCAATAGATAAAAGACAAATGATAATAAAAGGAATTGATAAGAACTTTCGATTACATCCTTTAGTGTGCAAATTAAGGTATTTATAAATACTATGAGTTAGCTCAGGTAGACGGAAACTTCCTTTGGTTACCAACATGTACTGACAAGTTCGTATAAGTAACTTTAAAGATTATAATTCAAATGTAATGGGTGCCACTCTTGTAGGCATGTTCAAACACTAAAAGAACAGAATCAACGACAAAAGAAGGGGAAAACAAGTGGGCTCAACCAAAAGATGCAGCTCTATCAGAGAAAACGAAGGGTAAGTGTACACACAGTAAGCGTAGTTTGGTTTTATTGATAGACTTACACATAATGGTCCAGCAGCTGATAGACAGTATTTCATTAGGATCGTTCAGCGGTAAAATTGAGTACACGTTACAGGAGTCTTGATGCATTGGTCTCACCTTCCAATTAACCCGTTCAACCCTTAACTTAAGTAGACTCTACCATGCATTGATCAGGATCAGTCCATTATGGTCTACAGTGGTGAGAGGGTTAAGAAGCATCACTAACAAATTTTAGTTATGATTTTGCAAAACTGACAATTTGTTTTATAGAATGATCATTTTTGAGAACTGTTTTTTAACAGCAGAATTAGATAAATTACTATACAAACCATTCGTGTGCTGTGTAAGTGGTTTACTCCCCCAGTGATACGGTAACAGAGTGAGGTTCTATAGGTGTAATCCCCCAGTGATACATAGGTGTACTCCCCCGGTGATACGGTAACAGAGAGAGGTTCTATAGGTGTACCCCCCCAGTGATACGGTAACCGAGTGAGGTTCTATAGGTGTACACCCCCAGTGATGCGGTAACAGAGTGAGGTTATATAGGTGTACTCCCCCGGTGATACGGTAACAGAGAGAGGTTCTATAGGTGTAATTCCCAGTGATACGGTAACAGAGAGAGGTTCTATAGGTGTACTCCCCCAGTGATACAGTAACAGAGTGAGGTTTTATAGGTGTAATCCCCAGTGATACGGTAACAGAGTGAGGTTCTATAGGTGTACTCCCCCAGTGATACAGTAACAGAGTGAGGTTCTATAGGTGTA